AACTTCACAGAACAAATCCCCTTAATAAAAGGATGTGTTCTGTGAAGTTTGGATTCAGTCAAAGAACCACACTCGAGGACCATTGCTCTTCAAGGAAAGGCTGGATTTCATTTGTTGTAGATGTTCATAGGAGACTCTTGCTCAGGTATGGTGAGGTCAGGCAGCTTCTGAGGTTTCTTCCATCTCTGAGACTGTATGGTCATGTGGCAAGAGTGAAGGGCAGGAGGACCCGAGTTCAAATCCATCCTCAGACACTTGACACTTACTAGCTGTGTGACTCTGGGCAAGTCACTTAACCCTCGATCCTACCAAGTTAGAAAGCCTTCCTCCTAAAACTTTTATTCCTTCTTACCATGATGTCCAAGCCCCTCTTTTGCTCTTGCTCTAGCTTCACTTTCCTCCCTTTGCAATCATATGCTTACCACTAAGCCGTTAATACTACATAAACCTCTATTTGGAAGTCTCTTGCTTCCTTGTGTTATCAAGACTCATGCTTTGCCAAAAACTAACCGTGGATGATTCACACCATCAACATCCTCTCTTCTATTCACTGCTGAATGGAGGTGGAGGAAATCATAGAACCATGATGACTAGGTCTATTCCAAGTTCCAACATCACCTGGCTCATCACTACAGACTGTGAAACTAAGAAGTGGAATTGGGGAAGGAGAGTAACTTGGTGTGGGGGACAGCAAGGATAATGGCACAGGGAAAGGAGATCTTGGGCCAAGAACAGATGGTAGGCCAGGGAAGCTGAATCACAGAATGCAGAAAGGAGAATAAAGTGTATGAAAACTGGAAAATTAAAGAACCACTTTCTAAAGCTGTTAGAATTTCTGGTTTCCTTCAAATCTCAGCTTAAGTGCCCTGCTGAATGTGAGGACTTCTCCTGATCCCTTTATTGGCTTAAGCATCTTTCCCCCAACAATTACCACATCTTTTTTTGTCAGATCTGTAATTTCATTGGTTTGAGGGCTCCCATGAGGAATTTCCATTCCCAGTGGAGATCAGTATATTATATTCTTCTTGTATCTATCTTATATACATTTATATATGTGCACATGGCCTCTGCAGTGTAGCAGAAGCTCCTGAGGGGAGGGACCAATTCCTTTTTGGTTTTGCGTATCCAGAGCTTTGCATGGTACCTGGCACATGGGAGGCAGTTAGAAAATACTTGACCTATTGATTGACAGGATGTGTAGACAGAGCCACAGCTCAGTTTGATCACTATTTCATATTTCCTCTAGCACTAATGGTTTGTAATGCCTGAGCTAGCTTTCCTACCTGCTTTACTGAAAAAAAGGTTGGAAACTGCCATTTTGAAAACTCAATGAAAAAAAAAAATTAAAAAAAAAAACTCAATGAAAATAAACTGATTCTACAAAGAAAGAAAGAAAGAAAGAAAGAAAGAAAGAAACTCTTTGGACACATTTCTAGCATCAGGATGAGTCTGCTGACTGAGGAACCACCTAATTAGGTATAAAGAGAATCATCATCAATATGATGGCCATTTAGTAACTGTTTTTTGACCACGGCAACTCATAAAACAAAGGAAAAATTTTCAATGGCCCATAACTCTGTATGACTCCTTCAGCCTCCACAGTGACAGTTGAGTGGTAAAAACAGGGCAAAGAGTTCTAAGAATAACAGTAGTTTATACATAACATTAATTTAACTTTTGATGCTCTAAATATGAAGGTTTTGTCTAAGTACCAGCAAACTGAATTATCACTGGAAGAAGTGAACTACATCAATACTGACATTCTCATGATAAATGAAACCAGAACACAAAGAAATTGCAGTTACACTGAAGGATGGCTCATAGGTTTTCCTAAGCCTGGGATGGGGAACCTGTGGCCTTGAGGCTACGTGTGGCCTTCTAGGTCCTTGGGTACGGCCTTTTGACTGAGTCTAAGTTTTACAAAACAAATCCTTTTATTAAGGGGATTTGTTCTGTGAAGTTTAGATTTAATCAAAGGGCCTCACTTGAGGACCCAGAAGGCCACATGTGGCCTTCAAGCCTTCAAGGCTACAGGATCCCTGCCCCCGTCCTAAAGCAAATAAAGGAATTAGAAGATTTGGTTTCACTGCACCTTTCAGAGGCAGTAAGAAACATCATTTTATGAGATACTTTGGTGCTACCTCTGACATAGACTACCTGTGTGACTCTGGACAAATCACTGAACCTCTCAGTGTCCTTGGCAATTTTCTAACACTACACATTGCAGAAAAGGTGCCACCCTGAATTGGTAGAGCAAATTTTCTCACCATGTTATTTCTTACAATAACGAAAACACCAGACCAGTCCCAATCCCTATCATACTTTGCTTATTACCCTGCTTTGTGGTATTCATGATGAACAAAGGCAAAAAGATCACTATGAACATAAGTACATCTTATGAATTAACATTCGATTCAGAGGATAAAAAGGTAAGGAATATTTTAAGAACTTGACAAGTGCCTCCAAACTAAGTCAATATATGTTCTGATACTCAGTGACTTCAATGCAAAGGTGGATATGGTAAAGATAGTTAAAAGTATGTTAGAAAATATAGTTCAGGTATAAGAAATGAAAGATGTCAAAGGTTTGTAGACTACTCAGAAGGCTTATACCAATACAGATGACAAATATTTCAAGAAGAGAGTAAGAAGGTGCTAGTAACAAAAGCCTTAACCCTAAAGCAAGGGCATCCCTTCTAGAGCCTGAGATGACTTGAAAAGGGACTAGGATGGTGGTACCCTCTCCTAAATTGACTTACTGAGAACATAATCACTAATTACTTACGAACCTTAGAGAAAACCAATGCTCACCTACATGCTTTCAGTCCAGCAATGCTATGAGTAATTGCCTAAAGTCAAGAAACTGCTAGATAAGCAAAAGTTTAGTGACACGTTTATTCTGCAACTCCCTCAGGAAGTAAGCCACTTCTAGACAAGGTCAGCAACAGACCCAGTGAGAAACCCTCAAAACTCAACTCAATACTGCTTTGGAGAAAAGAGTCAGGTTCCCCTGGTGCTTTGGAAGAGCTGGAGGGTTTCTTCTTCAGCCTAAGCTATACAGCAGGCTAGTACCTGAGTCTAGCTCTATGAGTAGTACTGGTTATAAGTTTTGTTTTGTATAAGTAATGCCACACACTATTTTTTAAATTTTTATTAAAATTTTTAAAAATAAACTATTGTTTGTTATGGACTTGGCAAATATCAACAAACATAAATATTTCAACATGCAAAGGAAAGAAAAAGAAGACTGCATATAAAACCATGAATCTATCATGCACAGCTTTTTTTTAAAAAGTACACATTAAAAGTACTTTAACATGGTAGTACCACAACTGTCCTTCTTGTCTGTCTCTCTGAAGCTTCCTTCTGTTTTCTTCTGTGTATTTTTTACATATTCCATTGACATTCTTTTCTTTCATATCAATTTTCCTAATTCTCACAACATTACCCTCCTTTGTAATAAATGAATATAATTAAATAAAACAAATCTGTATTGATCGTAGACACTGCTTCATTACTTTTTCATAAGATGCTTAGAAGAAAAACTGTCGTGGAGAGAACTGAAACACCTATAGGTACAGGTTGGCCAGTAAACAACAGAAAGAAGGATGAGGTCTGCTTACTTAGACTCCTGGAGTCTAGTCCCAGAGACAGTGAATTCTACTGAGTGATAAGTTTCAGTATGTTATCTTTTCCACAGAGATCTATGTTAGAAGCTTCTTTCCCTGTTGAAACCTAGCTCCCTTTTTGGCTACTGTTATTGAACGACAGTTACAAAACAACGACAACAAAAAAAACAACAACAAAAAAAACCAGAACACCAAAATCAACAGAGCTCCTTCCCTAAGCACTCTGACACGAAGATCTCTAAAAACTTAATCTATAATTACTTAGGAAAGACATTCAAAATTTCTAAGATATTTGGGATTGGAACCCCAACGACCACAGTCCATCTCTTTCACGACAAGTACCTAAATCCTTTAAGGTAAGGACTGTTAGGAAGTATAGTCAGTGAAATTGTTGAGGAGGGGAGGGGCAGAGCCAAAATGGGAGATCAGAGGCTACCAGATGAATTCTCTCAACATTCTGCTTTAAACAACTTTAAAATAATGCCTCAAATCAAATTTTGGAATGGCAGAGACAACAAAAGGTCACGGTGTTCCTCAGTGTTGGCAAATCACGGTGAGATATTTTTTCCAGTATAAGAAAACTTGGGAGGTGGGCAGCAGCTTTGTAGAAGCCTGTCTGGAACCCCCACACATAGTGGCAACAGTGGCTATAGCAGCAGCTTCAGGAGCTCTCAACCCAGAGACAGTAAAGAGGTCTGACAACTGGTTAGAAAGAGATTACAGAAGACTCTTTGCTGGCACTGGGTGTAGTTAGCATTGATTGGCAACTCTATTGCCCATATGTAGTTCTGGGTTGCAGTTCTAAGGCGGAGAAAAGGGATGGGGGTCAGTCAAAAGGGAGCAGGGGTCCTGGTCACAGTTCCAAGGCAAAGAGAGCACTAGTACTATGCCTACAGGGGATCAGAGGCCCTTCCTGGGTAAAAACCAGAATGCAGAGCAAGGGAGGAGTGACCATACCTCTCCCAGGATAATGCCACCTTGGAAGCACCAAAAACTTGCAGACCCCCAGAACTAGCTCTGAAAACAGCAGCATGAAAAAGACTGAAATTTGGGACAGCGCCCCATTTTCAATCCCCACCAAAGGTGAGTAGAGCCCAATTCTCCCGTAAAGTTCAAAGTCAAGAAATAGACTGGAAAAATAAGCAAGCAATGAAATTGCTGAGAGAAGAAAAAAAAGAGGTGATAATCGGGGAGAAGAGAAGGCAGAAGAGATCAAGAGAAATGAAGAGAAGGAGGGGCAAGAAAAGCAGGTAAGAGGGATGGTGGGAGCAAGTGTCAGAAAACTGGCAAGAGGAACAGAGAAAAAGAGAAAAGAGAGCAAAGGGAGAGGATAAAGAGAATATAGAGAAGGTAAGGAAGAGGAGTTACTTACTGACAGAGAGATGCCTGTTTCTGGGCTCCGGTGGCTGATAGATGGTATTTACATCTCCCATAGACTGGGAAGCTTTGATCCGGACCTGCTTGGGCACTCCAAGATGGGGGGAAGAACTGGTCTGAAAAGATACAAGGGAACGATTGAAACAGGATTTTAAGGAATAAGGAATGCAAAGATTCCTCTACCTTGAAATCATTTTTCCCAGACCGTGGAAGCCTATATTCACAATGATTTTAGTGGGTTCTCAACCCATGAGTTAACCTTACTTTCCTCCAAAAAACTTGTTCCTCAGTGTTGGCAAATCATTTGCTGCTCAATGTGGTCTAATTACCTACAGCAACCCAAGCTTCCCTATTAGCTACCCACAGATGAACTGGGAAAAGAGGCAGAAAACAATAATGACTTGAAGAGAACCAGTTATACCATCAACCAACCACAATAAGGCAGAAGAACTGGACTCATATAGACTAGGCCTATCTCACTGAATAGGCTACTTTCCTGGGGTGTAGGGTCCTATAAACACCTAATACACAATTCTTGCCTTTACACAACTGTACATTTTCAAGGAAAAAAAAAAAACTAAAATTCAATTACAGTTGCTTTGATTAATAAGACTACTAACCTAGATAGAAGAAGTCTTCCAGAAAGATAGGTAGCTGTCTAAGAGTCTCAGGTTACCAAACCCCAAAAGATGGCAATAGCAAAGCTCCTGAACTACAGTGATATAATTCTGGAACATTTACTCCATCCTGCCCACTCTCTTTTTGGCAAGTGGTCCTTCACCCACTGAGCCCTATCCTAACCCTGCACTCCCAAGAAGAAATCACTGGTCATGAGTTTAAAAAGATTATGTTTGTACTGTTGCTGTCCTCAATTTCTTTTTATGAATTCTGGCTAACTGTGCCTCCCTTAGCCGAGGCCTGTGGTCCTCATATTCTTATCCTACTGCCTGCATATTCTACAGTCCCAGAAAGGCAATCCAGCTCTGGCCTTGCCTTGTAATTCTCTGTTTTCCTGAGACCCAGGAAGTCCTTCTGGCTCAAATCCACTAAGGTCCACGTTGGGCCTGGGACCAAACTGTGGGGAAAGGGTAACCCAAGCAGAGGCAGGGACAGCTCTGTGTCTGGAAGCTGACCAGCCACTGGGAGAAGAGTTCACTCTTATTCCAGCAAACACAAGTCAAACTTGAGCTGCCCGTCTTGGGCCACCTGCAGAGCCGCTCTCTGGGTCTTCTGGTGTCTGAGAAAGAAAAGTGAGAAGGCTCTACTCTGGAGCCATCCTTGGGTTATGACTTCTGAGGATTCTGCCTTTCCTCAGATCTTTGAGGAAAAGGGAAGGATTACTGCATGTCTGACAGCTAAGTTCTACAAGCAATCAATGACCACTCATACTACTTAAATTAACAGAAGAATCTCCAACTATAATTTTTCTGGAAAGACTACCAAGTCTTATCATTGAGCATGATCATCTTCCCTGTCTCTCTGTCCTTCAGACTTCTGGCACTGTCATCTGCTCTGCTACTGAGTCATAAAAGCTTCATTCGTTAATTCGTTTGGATTCCTTGGCTTTGTCATTTGCAGTGCTGATGTATCCTAAGGACCACTAAGCCTTTCCATTTGCCCTGCCATTAAATTCTCCTAAACGTATGTCTGCCCAAATCAGAATATGAACACTTTGAGAGAGGAGACTCACTTTTTGTATTTACAGTGCTTCAGTGCCTGGAACATAATAAGCGCCTAACAAATGCTTTTCCATTCTATTCCAAGAAGATTAGGGCAAATATGGTACAGGAAAAGGACAAGCTATTTTAAATTGTAAATAAGAAACAGCCACAAGAATGATGAGAGTGAGAATTAGAGATTAATAAATTATCTAAATTAAAGCTTTTGTATTTCTTTCCTCTTCTACCTCCACAAGAATAAAGGAAAAAAATCATTACCTGACCAAAACAAACTTTGTATCCTTTACTTCTGAAAAATGATTCAACTCGGGGTTGAGCTTAGCTGCCAAGCAACCTGCTCTAGTATCCCCAAGCTGGACCTTATCACGTGCAGGGCTGTCTTGACAAACTGTACTGCTCTAACAGGAAGTCAATGCCAGGAGGAAGTAAGTACTCTTGCTAAAGCCTTCATGGTACAACAACTCAGCTTTGCCAAGAGCCAGAGAGGAAAAAACAGTCGATGTGCTACACTGAGGAAGCAGGCAAGTAATGGGGGAGGGAAGGCATGCAGTCTCTGATCAGAAATAGAATAGTATTGTAGTAAGCACTCAGAGAGGCCTCAACACTGTATTAAGTACGTAGGAAAAGCAGTGGAGATTAAATACATTCTCTACCTTCAAGGACTTACGCTCTAATAGGGAAGGAAGGAAAGCAAAATGTTTTTAGCTAACATAAACAAAAAGAGATATAAGACTATAAGAAAAGATTCATAATTAGGAAGATCAGGGATTGTATTATCAAATTAGAGTATATGAATCGATCAGGGAAAGCTTCCTGGAGGTAAGGCTTGAGCTATGATTTAAAAATTTAAAAAGAAAAAAAGATGCTATATGACAAATAGGAGGAATGAAGTTATTCCAAGCATTCAGGAAATAATGAACAAAAGCCTTAAAGAAGTAGTTCTTAACCATAATTATGTAATAGACTCTTTTAGCAGTCTGGTGAAGTCCATGAACCCCTTCTCAGAATAATAATTGTTGTCTATATCAATAAATTAAGGAAATAGTAAATTTCAGTTAGTGTATAATGAAAATAAAAATGCAATTTTTTCCCACCAAGTTCCCAGACGCCCTAAAATCTATCCAATCTTAACCTCAGGTTCAGTGCCCATTGCACCAGGTCAAAAGAAATTGCCAGACCAAGGTACTGAAGGGGTCAGGAACTGGTGCTAACTGGAAGTGTTGTCACTCACTACCCAGTTCCTGGTCACAGATCTAGGACAGATTGCAGAAGGGAACCTGTCCCCAGGGAGCAGGCTAGGCCATAGGATAGGAGAACCAATTAAGTTCAGAGGCAAACAACAGTAGTGTGACTTCAACCCCAGAAACAGAGCAGGGTCTCACTTCCAGAATCTAGCCCAATCTAAAATCTGCAGAGCAATAACTAGGGTTCCCAGACCAAAGTTTTGTGCTTCAGATCCAGCAAAGCTTCCCAGATGGCTGATAGAGGTTGAGTCCAGTAACAGTCTACTCTTGGTCAGACCCAATCCAGGTCAGAAATTTGCAGAGCTCAAACCAGGGGGGCAACAATCAGACTGCACAGGATCAGACTACTTTGGGAGCACTGAAATCTTGTAAGTTCCCAGCCTGAACTGTCCCTGAGATCTTGGGGTAATGTTAACACTCAACACCTCAAGAAAGCAGCAACAGAACCAGCTTACATCTTCCTTCCAGAAATGCAGCAGAGCCCAGCCCTAATATCTATTTCAAAGTCAGGAAGGAGGCTGGAAGAATAAGCAAGCAGAACAAGAATTCTACCATAAAAAGCTATTATGGTAACAGATGCTAAAGCTGCAAAACCAGAAGAGAATGACTACAAAACATCTACAATTAAAGCCTCAAAAAAAAAAAAAATACAACATTGGCACAAATTTAACTAGAATTTCTAGAAGAGATTAAGACTTTTTTTTAAGTTAAAAATGTTTTTTATCAATGAAATAAGAGCGTTATTGGGGAAAAAATGGAAAAGAAGTGAGAGCTATGGAAGAAAGAATTGGAAAGGGAATTAATAGTTTGGCACAAGAAGTATATAACCTTGCCCAGGCAACAAACTCTTTGAAAATTAGTATGGGCTGAACAGAATCCACTGACTACATGAAACAACAAGAAATATGAAAACAAAGTCAGAAGACTAAAAAAAAATAGAAGAAAACGTAAGGTATCTCAGAGCAAAAACAACTGATCTGGAAAACATCTAGAGAAGAAAAAATTTAAAAATTACTTGACTACTTAAACACTATGACCAAAAAAAAGGCCTATACATCATATTTCAAGAAATCTTAAAAGAAAACTGCCCAGATCTCTTAGAACCAGAAGGCAAAGTAGAAACTGAAAGAATCCACGGGTCACCTCCTGAAAGGAAGTCCAAAATGAAAACTTCCAGGAATATTACAGCCAAAATCTAGAATTTTCAGGTCAAAGAAAAAATGCTGTAAGCAGCCAAAAACAAAGAATTCAAGTACTGAGAACCACAGTCAGATCACACACGATTTGCAGCCACTGCTAAAAAAAGGAATGGAGAGCTTTCAATATGATATTCCAGAAAGCTGTGTGTAGGCTTATAGCCAGGAATATATCTAGGAAAACAATATAATCCTACAGGGGAAAAACAGATTTTAATAGAATAGAAAACTTCCAAGCATTTTGGATGAAAAGACCAGAGCTGTGTAGAAACTTTGAAGATCAAACACAGGAGTTAAGAAAAACAAAAAGGTAAACATGAATGAACAATGATAAAGAACTAAACAAGGATAAACTGCTTACATCCTAATATGAAAGAGATGATACATGTGACTCCTCTGAACCCTATCATCATCATACAATGACTCTAATTTGAGAAGGACTGGGAATGGTTCTCTTATGTCTTGATAATCTTAAGAGAAGAATAGAAAGAGAGGGAAAGGGGAATACATAAGGGGGGAAAGGAAAGGAAAGTTAGGGAAAATTATCTCATATAAGCAGGATGCAAAAGCAGACATATATACAAATAAGGAGGAAGTCAGTAAGACATGGCTGACACTTGAACCTTACTCTCATCTGAACTGGTCAAAAGACAGAAGAATACATACACATACATATGTGCACACAGAAGCAGTTGAGTCTAGAAATACATTTCAATCAACAGGGAAACAGGAGGGAAAGGGGAGAAGGGAAAAGGGGGGAATCATAAAAAGGGCAGGTTAAGGGGAGGGATTAGTCCTATAGGCTAAACAAACTTTAAGAATGTACAAAAATATTTATAACCCTTTTTGAGGTGACAAAGAATGGGAATATGATGAAGTGCTCTCAACTGAAGAATGGCTGAACAAGTTATGGTATATAAATATTATGGAATATTACTGTGTTGTAAGAAAGGATGAAAGGGATGGATTCAGAGAAAACTGGGAAGATTTGTATGAA